AACTTTTACAGAAACACACAAGGGATGTTTTGGATTGTGAGATAGATAAAAAGCTATAACATGTATAGATGTAACAAAATTAATATGTCACAGGGAGGAGTAAGACTATATGTGAGACACTTTCTGCTGCTCAGAACTGATGAATCCATCGAATGATACAGTAGAAGTTCTAGGAATTGAAGTTGAAAATGAAAATCTGGTAATTATCAAATAGAAATGACCCAAAATGGATGAATAATATGCTCAAATATCTACTAGGGCATAAGAAAGGAATTTATAGGCGTATCAAAAGAGGTGAGGGTCATCTTATGAATCAGTATATTGACATTAAGAGGGACATTAAAAAGGGGATAAGAAAAGCTAAAAGGGACTATGAAATTAAAGTTGCTAGGGATTCTAAAACTAACCCAAAAAGTTTTTTCCAGGTCTATAGAACAAAAGTTAGAGATAAGATAGGTCCCCTTAAAAATAACTATGGGCACCTTACTGACAATGAGAATGAAATGTGCTTGATTTTAAATAATTATTTTCTCTCAGTTTTTACACAGGAAGACACTAACAATATTCCAGTAATTAATTTTTACAGTGGGCTAGAAGAAGATAAATTATGTAACATCACAGTCACTAGTGAGATGGTTGTGAGGCGATAGACAGACTGAAGCAAAATAAGTCGCCGGGTCCTGATGAGGTTTTTTCAAGGGTTCTTAAGGAATGCAAAATGGAACTCTGTGAACCATTAACTAATATTTTTAATTATCTCTTCAAACAGGTGTAGTGTCTGATATGTGGAAGATGGCTAATGTAATTCCTATTTTTAAAACAGGGGACAAGTCGTTACCGTCAAATTACCGCCCAATAAGCCTGACCTCAATTGTAGGCAAATTACTAGAGTCAATTATAGCTGAGATTATAAGAAGCCATCTCGATAAGCATAGCTTGATTAATGATACTCAGCATGGATTCACAAGAGGCCGGTCTTGTCTAACTAATTTATTAACTTTCTTCAGTAAAACTTTTGAGGCTGTTGACCACAATAAAGAATTTGATATTATTTCTTAGATTTTAAAAAGGTTTTTGATAGAGTTCGCCCCATAGACTGTTAAAGAAAGTGGCGCTCATGGCAGGGGGGAAAAAGTGCTCTCGGGATCATCAGGCTCACTGACGGAAGAGAGAGTGTCCTAAATGGGTTAAATCCGATGGGGATCTGAAACAAGTGGTTCCACGGGATCAGTTTTGGGCCCGTTGTTGTTTAAAATAATATCAATATCTTGATGAGGGAATTACTAGTGATATGAGCAAATTCGCCGAGACACAAAGATAGGTAGGTTTTGATTCAAACGTAGATGTTATTGAACTTCAGGGGATTTAAACAAACTCTATTCTTGTCAGAAAAGTGGCAGATGCAGTTCAATGTAGATAAGGCAAGGGTTCTGAAGCTGGGAGTCCCCCAAACCTAGTACTTATAAATTTAAATGATGTAAACTTAGCCATAAATTGCGAAAAGGATTTGGGGGGTTATGGTAGCAGCCCCTTTAAAACCAAGCAGCAATGCCAAAGGACTAATAAGGAAAATAGATTACGGGATTTAAACAAGAAGTGTAAGAAACAGAAGTCCAGAGGTCATACCAGCTTTATACATCATTATAAGGCCTCCCTGATTATCACTCATTTCTGGTCCCCCCGTATTAAAAAAATGGACATAAATTCGTTAGAAAACATTCAGCGAGGAGACTAAATTAATACATAGCATCAGAAATCTTCCTTATGAAGAAAGATTAAAGACCTTTAAGTTCATTCCTTTTTAGCGAAGAATGGGGGGAGACCTGATCAATGTATAAGGGAAAGATAGGTTTTAAAAAAGGGGTTTTAAATAAGTTTTGGGGATGTCTCCCAAGAGAAAACCCCGCAGAAAAGGATTTAAATTAGATAATTTTGATTTAAAAAAAACATAGGGAAAGTATTGGGTTTGGAAAAGGGGATTTTTTGAGTGGGAAAAGTCTCCTAGTTTGGTTATTGGGGCTAGGCTTTTGGGGAGTTTCAAATTAGTTGGATAAGTACAGAGTGGGGAAGGGGTTTGGGTTTGAGTGGGGGCTTTTCCCTCAGACTTATTTTTTGGGGGGCATTGAAAATTGGGTTGGGGAAATGTTTTTTTAGTGGGTGAATTGAAAAGACCGCCTAGTAGGGCCAGAGGCCTCCTGCATGTTCCCCCCTTTTTTATGTTTTTTTATGTAAATACTGTCAGCAACGGCTGAGGTATTCACAGATGAAATAGCTGTCCAAAGGCGGAAAATCCACCAAATATTATCCTCCCTGGAATTGAATCTCCCAATGTAAAAAGGAATAGGTTTATCAAAACGTTTAGTAAAACACTCTTGGAACACCCTTTGGGTTAACAGGGCACACCCCGGGAACTATTTTAGATTTTTGAAAGTTCACATTGAACCCAAAAATAATTGTCCCCGTAGAAAGAAAAACCAAACCAAAACAATATACCCCGACCAAAAGCATCATAAAGTACAAACGAGTATTTAAAAACAGGACCAGGGGGTTGGGAATAAGCAGTAATGTAAGAGAAGGCTCTTGCAAGTTTAACTCAAAAACCCTAGAATTGACTGGGGCAAAATAAACCAAGAAGTATCAGACATATCCTGGGGAAAAAGACAAAGCACCCTAAAAACCCCACCATGCCTGGAAAGTTAATACAGAAGCATACAAATATATACCATTATTAAGACCCAGATCAGATATAGAGAGAGCGCAGGAGATGCTACAAAATAAGAAAGCGGGTTAGCGAATTGCTTAAAAACATAAATATGTTGCAACGGAAGCAAGACAGTCTTAACCGAGAAATCACTGACTGTCTCAGCAAAAACTTTGGACGCCGTGCCAGACATTAGCACAAAGGGAGCAAAAGGCCATCCAGGATATTGCAAGAAACACAAAATATTTATATTTATATGCAAACCGAAGTTAAGAATTGGACCTTTAATGAGATGATACACAAGAAATGAGCGAAATTCGTACTGTTCTTTTAAGAACAGTACGAATCTGTGTTCAGCAACCCACTACTATATGACAACAGGGTAGAGAATGCAGAAACTTTTTTCATTCCATTGGAAGGCCGCGCAGACCAACTGACAGTACTAACCCCATAGAATTCGAAAGAGAAATTGAAAACATGCCCGCTCCCTCAGCACCTGTACCAGATTCATGAAATTCCCTATTTATATATATAAAAAAGTGCAAAGTACTACTAGCACGAGCACTTGGTATTCTTTGGGGAAAGAGCCTAGATTGAGGTGAAATACTAGAAACCTTAAAGAATGCAGACATAGCTCCTTTGCATAAAGGAGGTAGTAGAACACCAACTAAAAATTACAGACCAGTAGCCCTAACTTCCCGCATTATAAAAATCTTCGAGTAATGAGATGTCAGATTACAAAATTCATGGAACAGCAAAAGCGACATAATACAAACCCGCACAGTTTTTGAGCGGGACAATCATGCCTGTCACAACTACTGAACTGCTATGACAGAATTACGGAGGCGCTGAAAGACAACTAAATCGCATGTGAGATACACACAGACTTTGCAAAGGTGTTTGACAAATGCGATCATGGGGCGATTGCACACAAAATGAGGGTCATAGGCATTACGGGAAAGGTAGGTAGATGAATTTTCGGGTTCCTAATACACAGAACACAAAAAGTAGAAGTAAACAGAGCAAAATTCAGCACCAGCGAGGTAAAAAGCTCAGTTCCCCAAGTCACTGTTCTGGCACCTCTGTTGTTTCTCATCCTCATAGCAGACAGATAAAAACACATGTTACAGTTTTTTATCATTTGAGGATGACATTAAAATAAGCATGAAAGTCACTTTGGTAGAAGGCTCTGAAAAATTACAGGAAGATATAAGTAGGATTTTCCAGTGGGCAGTGGAGAAGAAGATGACTTTCAAGGGGGATAAGTTCTAGCTATTTAGGTATGGAAAGAATGAAGAACTTCGAAGGAACACTGTATACAAAACTCAAGAGAATCATCAAACAGAATGAAGAGAACACGTGAAAGACTTGGGAATAATTATGTCAGCTGACCTTTCTTTCAAAGAACATAGTAAGAGAAAGGTCACACCAGGAGGATGACGGGGTGGGTAACGTGAACCTTTAAAACAAAGGAAATATTGCCATTGATGACAGTTTTTAAATCTCTCGTGTTTCCTCATTTGGAATATTGCTCAGTGTTGACGGCCCCGTTCAGGGCAGGAAGAATATCAATAGACGACAGAGATACACAGAAATTTACATCTTGAACAGTCTGGAGGACTTGGTCCCATATATACACACACAAAAAATTATCCCATTAAGAGGAAGAGCTCGGAAGACGGTACAAAATAACTCCCCAATAAAAAGCAGGGGTACAAAGATTATTAATTATAATCAAATAATACAGCGCTAAACCGACAAAGGGTCATGCAGAGGGGTACAAAGAGTACGCTATAAGACAGCTCAGTAAGTGTAAACGAACCAAGACTCAACACCTTTCCTCTATCCATAAAGGGAATTACGAACAAACTCCTAGCTGTCTTCAAGAGAGAACCGATAAGTATTTAAAGTTTGTCCTTGATTATCTTGGCTGTGGTGTGTACGTTCCACTGCGAATGGCTAGCACCAAGAGCCTGCTTGATCAAGTCATCTAACAGGAGGCGCGGTGTGGGGCAAAGCTGAGGGGTTGTTGACCCCCGGAGTCATCTTGAGGTAACTATATTCACCTGTCACCACCATGTACACATGTACCTATCACCACGTACACGTGGAACCAACATCACGTAACACGTACAATCACCACACTCAGTTCAGGTCCAGCAGTGGTCCAGGATGGGCTGGGCCACTGATGGACCTCCGGTGGACCACATGAAGGCAGGAGGAGGCCTCATCTACACCAAATAAGGCTTAGAGCCTCCAGGCTGAGCCGCTTCACCATCCACCTTAATATATACACTACCTCAGCTTCTCTGACAACCATATCCACGTTGTCAGCCTCCCTGACAACCATTTTCACGTTGTCAGCCTCCCTGACAACCATCCTCACGTTGTCAGCCTCCCTGACAACCATCTCCACGTTGTCAGCCTCCCTGACAACCATCCTCACGTTGTCAGCCTCCCTGACAACCATTTTCACGTTGTCAGCCTCCCTGACAACCATCCTCACGTTGTCAGCCTCCCTGACAACCATTTTCACGTTGTCAGCCTCCCTGACAACCATCTCCATGTTGTCAGCCTCCCTGACAACCATCCTCACGTTGTCAGCCTCCCTGACAACCATCTCCACGTTGTCAGCCTCCCTGACAACCATCCTCACGTTGTCAGCCTCCCTGACAACCATCCTCACGTTGTCAGCCTCCCTGACAACCATCCTCACGTTGTCAGCCTCCCTGACAACCATCTCCACGTTGTCAGCCCTGACAACCATCCTCACGTTACAGCCTCCCTGACAACCATCCTCACGTTGTTAGCTTCCCTGACAACCATCCTCACGTTGTCAGCCTCCCTGACAACCATTCTCACGTTGTCAGCCTCCCTGACAACCATCCTCACGTTGTCAGCCTCCCTGACAACCATCCTCACGTTGTCAGACTCCCTGACAACCATCCTCACGTTGTCAGCCTCCCTGACAACCATCCACGTTATCAGCCTCCCTGACAACCATCTCCACGTTGTCAGCCTCTTAGAATTTCCTTATCCACCTTCGATATACCTGTGACACATTTTCAGAGTATTTGTCCTCTGGTAGTCCGGCCCTGGGCCAGGCTCGTCTGGTGCTTGCCTGGTCAACCAGGCCATTGCTGCTGGCAGCCCGCTGGCCCACACATCCATCACAGCGGTTCCTGACGCTGCTGGTCTCACTGACGAGAGGGCCGGTGGACCGGGACCAGCCCACCGGTCCATCCCAGAAGAGGTAAACCCGGTAGGATCACACAGCGCTTGGGGAACGACGTAATGGAAATATGATCCAATGTAAGGGTGGCTCCGCTTCCTGGGATCAAGGGCCACGGTACCTGGAGGCGTGCTGGTGACGTGTTCACAAAAATAACACTCCCAGAACGAGTTATGCCATAACTTTAATTTCAGTAACATCCGCTATCTCAGTGATTCTTCTGACATTATTTCTTGTAGAATATTAAAATCTTGTTCATTTTTAGCGTTAATGCAGAAGTTTAGAAGACAAATTTGATTTAAAATTACGATGATTTATGTGTCTACACAATCAACCAATCTCTCTCTCACATTATATGTATGTCGTGCCTAATAAGTAAAACTGGTCAATTAGCAAGAACTCGTTTAAAATTAAGCCCTTTCTAAAATTTTCTCTTATACGTTTAAAGATATATTTTTTTCATTAATGTTGATGTAAAAATTTATAATTTTGCACCAAAAGGAACTTAGAAAACTTACCTAACCTTATTATAACAAGCGCAATTTATTTTAGCCTAACCCAACTAAATATATTTTAGATTTGTTTACAATAATTTAATACTAAACAAACACAGTGAAATATATTTTTTTCGTTAGCTTCAGAATGATTTTGGCGAAATTATTGCATACACAAATTTTCACTTGTCCTATATGGCAAGATGAGCGTTGCTATTTAAGCCAAGATCGCAAGTTTTGCCTATTCGGCACGACATTATATATAATGTATATATATAATCTCAATCTATTGAGGATTAAGTTAGGTTGGTTTAAGATGTATTGTAGAGGTCAGTTTTGAGCCAGAAAAAGCAAATGTATACATATATACATGTGCACACACAAGTATACATATATACATGTGCACACACACATGTATACATATATACATGTGCACACACATGTATACATATATACATGTGCACACACATGTGTATATATATACGTGCAAATACATGTACACAAATGGGGAAATCTTGGTGTCCGTGGGGAGGAGTGGGATAAACTACTGGCACAGTTTAAGGTCCAACGCAGCATGAGATCCTCTACCGACGATGTTTCTGTTAGTGACTTTATGAAGTCCACTGTGCGAGCGAAACGTCATTAATGAATAAGCGCTGTACGCTACACTTATATCTGTGACCATGGTGGTGAAGTGCACTTTTCCACCACATAGCCGTAAGCAAGAACACTCAAGTAAGCGTCACACCAACAACACCCACACTTATCCTTCTCCTCCTTCACTACAAACACTGTTTAACACTCAGTCCTCGCCCTACCACCACTCAAGAAGCTTGAACAGTCACTCAGTAGTGGGTATTTCTGGTGGAAACAACCCAGCGGGGCACAAGACGGGGTATGGAGATGCGGGTAGAGAGAGGTGATGGCACGACCCACCCCACTCACCTGCCACACACACACTGACCTCTCGCCACAACACCCAGTCTTATATACCTGTCATCTACTGCTGCTTCCCACGTATACGTAAATATATACGCATACGCACATGTATACAAACATTATTACAGGATTAGACACTTGCAACATCTGGGAATCAATCAAGACTGACTCCAGGATGAGAGGGACTGATTACCTCAAACTCCTTTTCATCTTCCACGTCTCTCTCTCGGACTGAGGAAGCCACATGCTGACGAAAACGTTTCCTTAACAGATTCCAAAGTGTCTAATTCTTCAACTTGTCAGTTATGGAAACAATTTGCATGAAACATTATCACGTCAGAGGCGCGTGTATGACTGACTGGTTAATAGGGTTTAAAGCCTATCTGCTACAGTAAGGTGATAAAGGCTACATGTAACATTTTCGCCATCAGACACGAATACTTCGACTCCTAAAATAAGTATTAAACTCTCAGCATATACACGTTGAAATATACCTCTCGGTGTATATATCCTGTGAGTGTAAGGCTAACAATGTTGAAAAATATTTAAGAGCCTAGGACCTTGATCCAGGTATTTGCTTAAGTGTCTTTAAACCACTTTTAGGTATCAGTTACCAAGGTTTACACCAAGCCTCACACCACCAGTAGCCTGGTTAATTATCCTTAAAGCCTATCAATACTCAAAGAGACATTTAAGAAAGCATATCCCCTGTTATACACCACCATTCAAGAATACTTTAATCTCTATAGTAGTGATTAACCTCTTAACGAATACAGAGTGAGAGATATACACCTCTCTATGTATGCACAGTGTGTTGCCTGCCAGCAGGAACCTCATCCAGGGGTCGTCCAAGAAGTAACACATGACACAAGTCTGACCATCATGTAACACCAGTGTTGACCACTCACAACATACACAAGCTCGAGGAAACTTAAATTATTCTTTAATAGTTTGCAACAACAATGAAAAAGAGCCTGACCCTGCCAGGTAAAAATAAATAAAATTACGAAAATTTTAACCCAGAGCGAGGGAGAAAGCTTATACACGTTACGGCCGAACTGGACTTTTACAAACCCTTCTTAGGTAAAGGGAAAAGTCGACCCGAAACCCCGTCGTGTAAGTTTCTCTCTCCATTCGTGGTTAAATTTGTGTATTGATTCAGACTAAAAAGCGGCTTATTTTTGTAAATGCGGAAATAAGGCGTAAGAAACGAAGAGTTCTGGTAACTTCCCCATTCTAAAACTCGGGGGCGTTTATAATTGTTTAAGTTTGCACTCTAAGCTTCTGCCAGCAGTTTTGCGTCACATATGCGGGTAAATCCCGTGAACAGAAACTTCAAACAGATTTGGTCTTGTCACCTCAATCACACTGTTGTCTTAAAGTTTTGCCAACTGTAGATCACCCTACTGTCTGAATGTTGTTTTCCTCACATGCAACCTGTAACAATCTAAAACACTGACACATCGTATTGTTGCACTGAATACAATCTGAACCCCGTATTGATTGCCTGCAATACTTTAAGAAACACGCATGTCACTGTTTGTTGCACTGCAATAACAAAAGCACCTGTCACTGTTAAGTCCCTGAATAAAAAAAATTTAACACTGCACTGTATTGTCCCCTGAAATTCCCTTTAACAACATTTCCTGTATTGTTCACACTAATAACAATTAAGCAACACTGTCCTTTTTGTTGCCCCTGAATTACATAAATAATTTTCATGTTTGTTGCACCCTGCATTAACAAAACAACACGTCACTGTTTTGTTGCACCTGACAAACCTAATACACATTTAAGAACACTGTCCGTATTTTCTACCTTGCAATAACAAAATTTAACCTGTCTATTTATTGGCTGAAAGCAATTATAATTTAATTCTACCGTAGTTCTACCGACATAAAAACTAACTTAAAAAATCTCCATTTTATACCCTTTATTTTACTCACTACAATTATTACTACTTCTTATACTCACTACCTTTTGTATTATCCACAAATTTATCTTACTATTATATATACACTACCATTATACAACTACCATTTTTACTACACTCCCAAATTTATTACTACAATCTTTATTATATCAACTCCATTATTACTACCCTACCATTATTACTACACACCATTATTACACACTTCCATTATTACTACTTTTTACTACCTAATTTTAATACATACATTATTACTACACAAACCATTATTACTAAACTCATTATACTACTACTAATTATTATACACTACCATTATGACACTCCATTTTATACCTACATTATTACAAACACTAACATTATTATACAACCTAACTCATTATATTACTACCTACCATTATTTCTACAACTATACTCCTCCATTATTACTACCTCCCAATTTATTACTACACTACCATATTACTACACTACATTATTATACACTCCTTTATTACTACACTACCATTATACTACATACTATTATTATACATACATTATTATAACTAATTATTACTACACTACTTATTACTACACTACATTATTACTACCTACCATTATTACTACACTACCTTTATTCTACACTACCATTATTATACACTACCATTTTTATACACTAATTTTTACAACACTCCCATTATTAACTACACATTATTACTACACTACCATTATTACTACACCCATTATTACTACACTACCTTATTACACACTCAATTTTACTACACTACCTTATTAACATAAAATTTTTATTACACACATTATTACTACACAACCATTATTCCCACACTACCATTATTACTACACACATTATTACACACTAACCATTATTACTACACTTACAATTATTACTACACTACCATTATTACTAACACTACCTTTAAATTACACTACCATTATTACCACTACCATTATTACTACACTACCATTATTCTACACTACCAAATTTTACTACACTACCATTATTACTACACTACCATTATTACTACACTACCATTATTACTACACTACAATTATTACTACACAACAATTATTACTACACTACCATTATTACTACACTACCATTATTACTACACTACCATTATTACCACACTACCATTATTACTACCCATTATTACTACACTACCATTATTACTACACAAAACAATTAAAAACTACACTACCATTATTACTACACTCCATTATTACTACACTACCATTATTACCACACTACCATTATTACTACACCATTATTACTACACTACCATTATTACTACACTACAATTATTACTACACTACCATTATTACTACACTACCATTATTACCACATTACCATTATTACCACACTACCATTATTACCACACTACCATTATTACTGCACTACCATTATTACTACACTACCATTATTACCACACTACTATTATTACTACCTGGAGTTTACCTGGAGAGAGTTCCGGGGGTCAACGCCCCCGCGGCCCCGTCTGTGACCAGGCCTCCTGGTGGATCAGAGCCTGATCAACCAGGCTGTTACTGCTGGCTGCACGCAAACCAACGTACGAGCCACAGCCCGGCTGGTCAGGAACCGACTTTAGGTGCTTGTCCAGTGCCAGCTTGAAGACTGCCAGGGGTCTGTTGGTAATCCCCCTTATGTATGCTGGGAGGCAGCTGAACAGTCTTGGGCCCCTGACACTTATTGTATGGTCTCTTAACGTGCTAGTGACACCCCTGCTTTTCATTGGGGGGATGTTGCATCGTCTGCCAAGTCTTTTGCTTCGTAGTGAGTGTTTTTTCGTGTGCAAGTTCGGTACTAGTCCCCCCTAGGATTTTCCAGGTGTATATAATCATGTATCTCTCCCCCCTGCTTTCCCAACGAATACAGGTTGGGAAACCTCAAGCGCTCCCAGTAATTGAGGTGTTTTATCCCCGTTATGCGTGCCGTGAAGGTTCTCTGTACATTTTCTAGGTCAGCAATTTCACCTGCCTTGAAAGGTGCTGTTAGTGTGCAGCAATATTCCAGCCTAGATAGAACAAGTGGCCTGAAGAGTGTCATCATGGGCTTGGCCTCCCTAGTTTTGAAGGTTCTCATTATCCATCCTGTCATTTTTCTAGCAGATGCGATTGATACAATGTTATGGTCCTTGAAGGTGAGATCCTCCGACATGATCACTCCCAGGTCTTTGACGTTGGTGTTTCGCTCTATTTTGTGGCCAGAATTTGTTTTGTACTCTGATAAAGATTTAATTTCCTCGTGTTTACCATACTACACTACCATTATTACCACACTACCATTATTACTACACTTCCATTATTACACTACCATTATTACTACATTACCATTATTACTACACTACCATTACCACACTACCATTATTACTACACTACCATTATTACCACACTACCATTATTACTACACTTCCATTATTGCTACACTACCATTATTACCACACTACCATTTTTTACTACACTACCATTATTACCACACTACCACTTATTACTACAACTCCATTATTACTACACTACCATTACCACACCATTATTACCACACTACCATTATTACTACATTACCATAATTACTACACTGCCATTATTACTACACTGCCATTATTACTACACTACCAATATTATCACACTACCATTATTACTACACTGCCATTATCAAACAACCATTATTACTTCACTACCATTATTACCACACTACCATTATTACTACACTACCATAATTACTACACTGCCATTATTACTACACTGCCATTATTACTACACTGCCATTATTACTACACTGCCATTATTACTACACTACCAATATTACCACACTACCATTATTACTACACTGCCATTATCACACTACCATTATTATACACTGCCATTTACCCCTCCATTATTACTACACTACCATTATTACCACACTACCATTTATTCTACACTGCCATTATTATTACATTATTACCACACCACCATTATTACTACACTACCATTATTACTACACGACTATTATTACTACACTACCATTATTACACACTACCAAATTTTTAATGCACTACCATTATTACTACTACCATTATTACACTACCATATTAAAACACAACCATTTTTACTACAAATCCAATTATCACACTACCAATTATTATTAAAACTGCCATTATCACACAAAACCCTTATTACTACACTACCATTTTACTACACTACCATTATTACTACACTACATTATTACTACACTACAATTATTGCTACGCTAACATTTTTTTACTACACTCCATTATTACTACACTACCAATATTACTACACTACCATTATTACTACACTACCATTTACTACACTACTTTATTACTACACTACCATTATTACTTACACTACCCTTATTACTACACTACCATTATTACTACACTTATCATTATTACCAACTTCCATTATTTTCTACACTTCCATTATTACTACATTACCATTATTACTACACTACCATTATTACTACACTACCATTATTACTACACCATTATTACTACACTACCATTATTACTACACTACCATTAAAACATACAATTATTACACACTACCATTATTACTACACTACCCTTTACTACACTACAATTATTACTACATACATTATTAACAACTACCATTATAACAATTACCCTTATTACCACACTACCATTATTACCACTACCCATTATTACTACACTACCATTATTACTACACTACCATTATTAATGCACTACCATTATTACTACACTACCATTATTACTACACTACCATTATTACTACACTACCATTGTTAATGCACTACCATTATTTCTACACTACTTATTACTACACTACTATTATTACTACACTACCATTATTACAACACTACATTTTTTAATGCACTACCATTATTACTACCACCATTATTAATGCACTACCAAATTTTTACTACACTACCAAATTTAAAAACTACAAATTATTAATGCTAAACCCTTATTACTACACTACCATTATTACTACACTGCCAATTACACAAAACCCTTATTACTACACTACCATTATTACCTCCTACCATTATTACTAAAATACCATTATTAAACTACCTTTATTACTACCATTATTACCCACAACCAATATTACTAACTACCATTACCACACTACTATTATTATCACTCTACTATTATTGCTAAACTACCATTGTTTTCACACTACCATTTATTATTACACTACAATTATTACAAAACTACCATATACCACACTACTATTATTACCACACTACCATTATTACTATGCTACCATTATTACCACACTACTATTATTACCACACTATCATTATTACTACACTACCATTATTACCACACTACAATTATTACAGCATACCATATTACTACACTGCCACTACACCTACCATTATTAACAGTACCCTTATTACCACACTACAATTATTACTACACCACCGTTATTACCACACTACCATTATTTCTACACTACCATTATTACCACACTACCATTACTACACTACCATTATTACTACACTACCATTATTACCACATTACCATCATTACTACACTATTATTACCATTCTTTATTAACACAGTTTTTTAAACACTTTCATCGTCATTCACTTCATCACCGTCATGCAAGAAGAGTGTCTACACTACAGTTAAAGACTGCAACATCAATACCCCTCCTTCAGAGCACAGGCACTGTACCTCCCACCTCCAGAAATCATGTTGGCTAACTGGTTTCCGTGAATCCCTTCATAAATGTTACTTTGCTCACATTCCAACAACAAGCCATTTATCTCCACTCACTCCTATCTATGATGCTCACACACGCTTGCTGGAAGTCCAAGCCCCTGGCATGCAAAGCCTCCTTCCACTACAGATTTATATGCCCTCGAAGTCATTCTATTTTGTTCCATCCTCCCTAAATGTCCAAACCACCTCAACAACCCCTCCTCAGCCCTCTGGACAATACTTTAACAAACCCCTCACCTTCTAATATCCAAGCTACAGATTCTCTGCATTATATTCACACTGCACAGTGCCCTCAGGCACAACATCACTGCCTCCAGCCTTCTCGTTGTTGCAGCAGCCACCACCCATACTTCACACACATATAAGAGTGTGAGCTGAGTACGCTACCAACCGAGCTCTTCCATGATGTTTAGTCACGTTATCAACAATTCTACCAAGCTGGCCCCTGGCAGACACATCACAGTAATTAAAGACTCCATCATCATCGCCTGTTTCAGTGATGATGAAGCAGACAGGATCATCAAATAACGAAGGCCCGCATCAGGAAAGAATTGACCTGTTTCCTGACAACTCTTACCTAGAGAATACTCTCTAGGTAAGAGAGGGCTTCAGGGGTCAACATCTCCGCAGCCCAGCCCATGACCAGGCCTCACAGTGGAAGAGGGCCTAATCAACCAGGCTGTTACTACTGGCTGCACACAAACATACAAACCACAGCCTGGCTGGTCAGGTAATGACTTTAGATGCCTGTCCAGTGCCTTCTAGAAGACAGCCGGGGGTCTACTGATATTCCCCCTTATGTATGATGGGAGGCAGTTGAACAGTCTTGGGCACTTGACACTTACTGTGTTGTCCCTTAGGTTGTCAATTGAGTGGATAGAGAAAAGTTATGAGATGTATGAATGAACCAGTGAGTACAGATGGAAGCTAAACATGCAGATGAGCTACAAGGATATTAAGAAACATGTTCTCACTCTTGGGCAGAAAGTAGAACAAGCCAGATCAAGAGGTGGGAGGTTAAATACAATACACACTCTTGGGAAATCTGATCATTAATAGCTCAGAAAGAGAGGAGGCCCAAGAGCTGTATCTTGACTGGTGTAAACACACAACACAAAACCAATACCTCACCTGCCGCCCACAGCTAAGTCAGTGATGGCATAGAAGTAAGACTTCAGTACCCTGGGAGCACCAAAGACCTCATCCCTGAAGGTGTTAAGACGGTCCAGGATGATACGGATGTCAGTGGCTGTCACCCACTCCTGTACACAGCACAATAATAATAACAATTAATGATAATAATAATGTTTTATTTTCCATGGAGGAACATAACTTAAAATACTGCCATCCCATGATGGTGTGTGGATGTAATGAGGAGTCTAAAAGAGTAGAGTGTGAGATGGGGACATAACTACACTCAACAGTGAACTTTCAGCAACACAGGCATCACTACGTTAACCATAGAGAAAAGTTCAATCACAACACAAACTGCCAAACATAATATACACCACAAAGCATGCTATGAAATCCAGTATATAATACCAACTAATCTTACTTATTATAGGTAGTAGGTTGGTAGACAGCAACCGCCCAGGGAGGTACGTACTACCGTCCTGCCAAGCGAGTGTAAAACGAAAGCCTGTAATAGTTTTACACGATGGTAGGATTGCTGGTGTCCATTTTTCTGTGTCCATTTTTCTGTCTCATAAACATGCAAGGTTTCAGGTACGTCTTGCTACTTCTACTTACACTTAGGTCACACTACATATACATGTACAAGCATATATATATATACACACCCCTCTGGGTTTTCATCTATTTTCTTACTAGTTCTTGTTCTTGTTTATTTCCCTTACCTCATGGGGAAGTGGAACAGAATTCTTCCTCCGTAAGCCATGCGTGTTGTAAGAGGCAACTAAAATGCCAGGAGCAAGGGGCTAGTAACCCCTTCTTCTGTATATATTACTAAATGTAAAAGGAGAAACTTTCGTTTTTCCTTTTGGGCCACCCCGCCTTCGTGGGATACGGCTGGTGTGTTGAAAGAAAGAAAGAATCTTACTTATGTATTCAGTAATACAAATGCTGCTTCAATGTTCATTCAGTGAAAAATAAATGCATTAGACTATTTATTCACTCATTAACTGGTAAATTATTGAAGACACTAACTTAAGGAAAATATATCGACATATACTCTACATATATGTCGATATATTATTCCAAAATGTTTCTTGTATGCAGTAGGCTTCTTCATGACAGCAGCTGTATAATCCTACAGGTTTAGCGCTTCCCCTTGATTATAATAATAATAATAATAATTCACGACAGCAGAGATGTAAACACGACATAATCAGTCCATCACCCTTGAAGACATTGTTTCGGGGTGGTCAGTCCCTCAGCCTGAAGCAAAGTTCTGTTTCAGAGTCTGGAACAATGTCTTCGAGGGTGATGGACTCATTACATTGTCTTTACATCTTTGCTGCTTCTGCTGCCTCCTCTGCATTCTAATGAGGAAACCTACTGTGTAGGCAAAATGTTTTAAAAAAAAGATAACTAACTGTTGCATGTGTCTTAATGGTCAACTTGTCTATATACACACTCTGTGCAGAGCTAGGGTGCGAAATGGACAGAAAGATATAATGCACTCATTGTTTATATTTTCAAAAACACAATAAAACTATCATATATATATAAATAATAATACTATAAAAAAGTAATACATGTAACACAGAAGAAGATAAATCATGCAACACTTATGAAAGTGGTCAGTCCTGGTGTAGTAGACAAGTTGAGAGAGACAGGGGGATGAGTCAAAGTAGGAGCAGGAAGACTAACAGAAAGAAGGAAAAGGGGGAGGAGGAGGAGATGGAAGAGCAGAAAGAGAAGCAGAGGCAAGTAGGAGGAGGATGAGGAGGACCACAAGCAGAATACATAGCAAGACAAAATACATAGCAAGACAAGGACCACAAGCAGAATACATAGTAAGACAAGGATTACAAGCAGAATACATAGCAAGACAAGGATCACAAGCAGAATACAAAGCAGAACAAAAATCACAAGCAGAATACATAGCAAGACTAGGGCCACAAGCAGACTACAGAGCAAGACAAGGACCACATAAAAAATAAAGAGCAAGACAAGGACCACATAAAAAATAAAGAGCAAGACAAGGACCACAAATATACTGCAGAGTCTGACAGGGACCACAATCACATTCCAAGAACACCTCACCTGGAGCTTGGAGCTGTTTTCAAAGTTGTATGCAGAAGGTCTTCCCTCAAGCGTGGAGAAGGCCACATTGCCGCCTGTCAATGGAGAGATGTCTGAGAACTCGGAGGTGCAGAGGGCACGAGTCTCGTCATCCTTCCTGACATAGGTAGAGTCTGGGATGCCATAGGTGTCGCGGCAGGTGGCGCTGTAAGAGAGGTCAACAGTAAGTCATGCTGAGATTACAAGTGATTCCCTTAGTCAAAATAATACAATGCATGTTGTCAAGACCAGGCTCTGGGAGTAGAACACTCTTGTAACCCATGAACGGTATAAGACATGAATTGATGAAGTCTCTGGTCGGATAAAACAACAATTCACTCAAGTGTCATTGAACCACATAAAGTGTATATAAATATACCTAGCTGGATATATCTTATTAGAGCCAGCAGGGTTCAAACCCCATCTGTTCCTGATTTAATTGTGTTTTTATTACAAATCTTGTCAGTATATAACACTGATCCTCAGATGGGTCATCTCTGGATTAAGACCTGCGTCAGGACGCAGTTCACGACGAATCAATCAAGCAATCAAAATGTATAACACCAGTTATATAAATAAAATGTATCACCAAGCCACTGACATTGTACCTCATGGTATAGTACAGCCCTTCCTCACTTAGCAACATACTTGTTTACCGATGCCTCGGACTTACGACAGACTCTCTGACCTGTATTCATACCTAAATAATGTATATTAGAGCTGATTTCCTCTATTCTTTTTATTTCAATATATGTACAGTACACTACTGTATACATTTAAATACCAGAAATGCTATAAATGGTGCAAAGGTGACATTAAAACAATATCAAAGATGTTGACACAACTCACTACCAATGTAGTATGCTCCTCACTTAGCGACGAATTCGTTTAATGATGTGGTCTCAGGAACGAAACTCCGTTGTTAAGTGAGGACAGGCCGTACTCGCCAGCACAAATGTTAAGGTATAAACACACTGCAGCACTCAGGCAGTACTCTTCTGTTACTTTACAATTGTGTGTTTTTTTAGTACCAGAAATAACTGGTGTTTAAATTTTAAATGTAATGAAGAATGAAAGCCACATTACCATGGATGAAACAGTTCACATTTAACCCACAAATGGAAAGTGAACCACAGATGAGTCCATCACAGACCAGCATTAAGTGAACTCATGATATGTGTTAGTGATTCTGTAGAATATCTCCCCCAGAGCCCAGTCTCAGACCAGGCCTCCTAGGTTGGAAAGGAAATGTTAAAGAATAAAGAACTAAAGAAGCACACAGGAGAGTAGAGGTATGTGAACAGTGAACATAAGCAGAAGTTTGTAAGATTTACTTGTCATCATACATGTCCATGGGACAGAAAATATCAGCAATCCTATCAGAGTGCAACAAAATGCAACAAGTTTCCATCTCACACTAATATGAAAGGATAATAGTTCCTCTCAGGATGGTTGCTGTTTAACAACCTATTACACGATAGGATAATAATCCAAGGATGGAGTTGTCATCCAGTTTTCATTTCTCTTCAACATAATTTTCCTTGCATACCTTCAGTGAAAAACAGGGGTGCTGTGAGGATAATAAGAGATGACTGTATCAACTTCCATGGTCCCAGACTTTTAAATATGTATCTTACCAAAATAATATCAGATGTATTCCCTGGAACGCAGGAGGGAGAGATACATGATTATATACACCTGGAAAATCCTAGAGGGACTAGTACCGAACTTGCACACGAAAATCACTCACTACGAAAGCAAAAGACTTGGCAGACGATGCACCATCCCCCCAATGAAAAGCAGGGGTGTCACTAGCACGTTAAGAGACCATACAATAAGTGTCAGGGGCCCGAGACTGTTCAACTGCCTCCCAGCACACATAAGGGGGATTACCAACAGACCCCTGGCAGTCTTCAAGCTGGCACTGGACAAGCACCTAAAGTCAGTTCCTGATCAGCCGGGCTGTGGCTCGTACGTTGGTTTGCGTGCAGCCAGCAGCAACAGCCTGGTTGATCAGGCGCTGATCCACCAGGAGGCCTGGTCACAGACCGGGCCACGGGGGCGTTGACCCCCGAAACTCTCTCCAGGTAAACTCCAGGTAAACACTGTTGAGACAAGTGTAGAAGTCTTCAAGAGGAAATTCAACAAGTACCTCTTCCAAGTACAAAATCAACCAGGCTGTGATGGTCATGTGAGCCAGCAGACCGCCAGCAGCTACAGCCTGTGGGAAACACACTTGCATACAGTTCACAATATTTATTAAGGAAAATGTTTTGCCACAACTGGCTTGATCAGTCCTGATCAGACTGATGAAGTCACTCACAGTGAAACTTTTCCTTTTCATAAATGTACTGAACTGTACACGTGTGTTCTTTTCCATACTGTCGGTATCACCAGACCATTTACAGCAACAGCCTGGTTGACCAGACAAGCACCAAACAAGCCTGTCCCGGGCCAGGCTGCAGGGACTGGAAAACTCTTACAACCCATCAAGGTAAGTCAGAAAGAAACAGCTAGCACTTAAACACATTGTTCTAGATAATTATAAAGAGTATTCTCATAATGGTTGAAAAATTGAAGTCTACTCTAGTCACTGGAGAGCAATAAATCAGTAGGGGTCATACGTCACCTGGAAAATGGGTGGTAATGAAGTTTGATGAATTAGACACTTGTGCAACACTTGGGCATCTTTATTATGGAAACATTTAGCCAACTAGTGGCTTCCTCATAATGGTTGAAAAATTGAAGTCTACTTAGTCATGGAGGCATAAATCGTGGGTCATGTCCCTGGACAATGGTGGAATGAAGTTATGATTAACACTTGATGAACTTGGGCATCTTTATTATGGAAACATGTAGGCAACTAGTGGCTTCTCAGTCCATACAGTGTCATGTATGGTCAATCTACAGTGTAAGTAGTCACTATATGAGGAGAAGTTAAATATGCGACAGGTGAGGTAAGCAGTGTAGACATGTCATGGACAAATCTACAGGTGAAGTAGTCATTGCTAAGATTAAGCAAGTGTATTGTCAGTTTGTTATCTGCATGTACAACCATAGAATTGTATCAAGATCCAAGTTTGTTGGTCCTGATGGGAATGTAGATAAACATATTCGGCAGGAAAAGGACACTTCAATTCTCTTGATCAATTAGAACCTTGCGGTGAGAGTAGCGGTAGAAAGCACTGACAAGATATGCCTTTGATATACCTTGATGGGTTTTGAGTTTTTCCTACTCCTGCAATCCAGCCTTGGGCCAGGCTTCCCTATTGATCACCTTGTCAACTAGGCTGTGTGTGTGCTAGCAGCCCATTGGCCCATGCAGCCCTCACAACCCGCCTGATCAAACACCTGTACAGATTAACTTGAGGAAGGTCCTGTACAAGGGAAACATAGTCAACTTAACAAAGTTCACGTGTAAGGAACACATGGTTGACGTGACAAAGTTCCTGTGTAAGATAAAGATGGTTAATCGTTAAGTTATAGTCACCTGTAGTACTGGTAGGGTGTCCACTCCTCGTCTTCTGTGCCACGCTTGAAGATAGCGAAGGACTCGGGTCTAGGAGAGTGGAAGAACAGCCGCACATACGTGATGTCGAACGCCTTGCCTGCCGGACCACACATCATAAGTTGCAGAATAATAATAATAATATCTTTGTAATAAAGTTGGTAGAATTACCGACAATATGTAAAGTAAAAGGACACAAGTGCAACTAATGTGACATTTTATTGTGGCAACGTTTCGGTCTCCAGGAGCTTTATCAAGCCGTTACAAACAATACATGGACACATAGGGGATATATAGGCTCAGAGTGAGGTGCAATACTAGTGGTAGTAGTAGTAATAGTAGTAGTAGTGTCAAAAGTTGTAGTAGTAGTAATACAATATGGTAGAGCAATTAATTCGTACATGAGTAAAAGGATAAAAGCCATTACTTAGGTAACATAAAAACAGGTTGGACAAATATAGACTGGATAGAGGCAGCCTGTTTCAGTGTTCACTCTCTGTAATGTGCTTTGTGTAGTATAACAGGAGAGACTAAGTGATGGCAGGGTTTACTGTTTTCAGGAGGATTCTTGCTAAGACTTCAGAGATGGTGAAGCTGCCGTTGTTTTGTTTAATTGTATTCGAAACAGCGATCAGTGCTGATTCGAGGCAATTGCGTCTGTGGAAATTAGTTTCTTTGATCACTAATTGGAGGTCCCTGAATTTCATGAGATGATTGGTGGAATTTAGGTGTTGTACACAGGCGTTGTTCAAGTTATCGTTCCTACATGCGTAAATGTGTTCATTGAGGCGGGTGTCGAGGTTTCTTGCTGTTTCACCTACGTAAATCTTGTCACAGCCTCCACAGGGTATAGTGTAAACTCCTGCGTTGACTGGTTCGTGGTGCTTTGATTTTGCCCTGGTTAGATCCTTTATTGAAGTGCCAGAAGCGATGGCGACTCTGGTGTTAGCTTGTGAAAGTACTTTAGAAATGTTCAGTGCAACCTGGCTGCTGGGAAGAATTATAACTTTGTTGGGAGTGGTGTTGGTGCGTGGAGAATTACTACTACTACTACTACTACAACTTTTGACACTACTACCACTAGTATTGCACCTCACTCTGAGCCTATATATACCCTCTGTGTCCATGTATTGTTTGTAATGGCTTGATAAAGCTCCTGGAGAGCGAAATGTTGCCACAATAAAATGTCACATTAGAATAATATCTTTATTTCTACAAGTACAGGTATACAGGCCTAGCTGACATCAATGACATACTAATATATACGTGTAAAGCCCTTTGTTATGCAGAGCATTTCGAGTAAATTAGGTCAATTTTGTCCAAGGATGCGACCCACACCAGTCGACTAACACCCAGGTACACATTTTACTGATGGGTTAACAAGGATAGCAGGTGTTTCGGGGAAATACGTCCTAATGTTTCCAGCTGCATCGAGGATCGACCTCCCGACCTAACTCATGGAAATAAGTCACTGACTTTTTTTGGGGGTTATCCTAGGTAATCTACACATATGCTGCTATGTATGATAATTTATGTAACTATATTTATGTGTACTGTACCTGAATAAACTTAGCTCATTGTCATATGTAACTAACACACCAGCTATCTGTTAAGGGGTCTGGGAATTATCTTTTCCCCAGAGCCCGGTCTCAGACCAAGCGTCCTGGGTTGGAAAGGAAATAATGCAAGATTACAGAATTCTTAAGCATCACACCGAATGTAAGTACCATATTTTTCTGCATATAAGGCGCGCCTTTACCCCCACAAAACCTTGAAAAATTAGATTGTGCCTTATATGCTTTGGTTTATGCTTTAGCATAAAGTAAGAGAGCAATTACCCCTTCAATATGATTACTGATTTACCGTTATGATACTTCTGTCGTGCGCCTTATATGTCGGAAAATACAATAGATGTTTGTAAGATTTGCCTGTCATCTTACGTGCTCACAAGACAGGAGTTTACCTGGAGAGGGTTTCGGGGGTCAACGCCCCTGCTGCCCAGTCTGAGACCAGATAAGGTAACCCAAGAAAGTCAGTGCGTCATCGAGGACTGTCTGTCTCATTTCCATTGTGGTCCTTTAATCTTGTCCCCCAGGATGTCACCCACACCAGTCAACTAACACCCAGGTACCTACTTACTGCTAGGTGAGCAGGGACAGCAAGTGTTTACCTACCTTACCTGTAAGGAAACATGCTCAACATTTCCACCTGAGTCGGGAGTCGAACCACGAACACTCAGGGTGAGGCTAAAGCGTTACCAACCAAGCCATAGGACACAAATAAAAGCTCAACAACCCTGCTAGTTTGACACGATGACAGTACCTCCCTGGACGGCTGCTGTCTACCAATCTGCTACCATGATAGTGTTAGGTAAAATAACCTAACATTTTGTTGGCAATTCTACCAATGTCACAACATATCGAGATAGTAACACCTTTGTATCCATCTAAAATGGGAGGCCTTGACGCCAGTGAAGTGAGTCGTAAAACTCCAGGCCAGTGCGTAAGCCAGTTGGCCCAGTGGCTTATGCACTAGACTGGAGTTTTTAGGACTCATTCGCTACAGCTAGGCGACAGGTTAAAATAAGTAAGCTGCAAGCTACATGTAAGCCACAGGCTACAGGTTAGCTACAACCTACAAGTAGGTTACAGGCTACAGGTACACATCAACTTTCACTCACTGACTCTCACAATACCATGGCTGCAACAATTCCAAATAAACATTCCAAATAAACCCACAAGCTGCAAAAGAAAATTTTTATGTGCCCACATCATCTCTGTGCCAAGACCATCGCAAAAACATTGCATGTTATGCACTCAAACCCTCAATAAAAAGTTACGTCTTCAACATTCAGAATTTAAGAACGCTACCAAAGTTACCCTTCAAATATGACAACCACATCGTTTTCTATAACAAACAAATACATCATTTTCTATCATCCCAGTGACACCTTTATGAGGGATAACTATAGTAGTAGTAGTAATAGCGTAAGTTTATTTATTTATTTATTTATTTATTACAATTTGAGCACACATACAGAGGTACAAAAAAAATACAGATAAGAGCAGCATGCCAAAGCCACTTATACTATGCATTACGGGCTGGCTTAAAATTAACTTAAGATTAACTAAGCAATGATGAAATCAGTGATAAAACATTAATGTAAACAGATTACTATAAAACACAAGTGAGTATTACAAAGACAGGTCATATGGTTGCATGCATTGTTGTACATTCAGTCGTATGGAGAATTCTGTTAGGTAGTTTATTTAAAAAATAGTAAAGTTAGATTGGGTTTTAGGTTTAACATTTATGTGATATAATTGTGAGAAACATTTAAGATATACAATTTATAAGGTTGAGTTATTCAGTATTTATTTGGTTTTGGGTGAGTAAGTGATCTTTGAGAAGAGACTTGAATTTATAAACAGGTAGTGTTTCTTTTATATTTACAGGTAATGAATTCCAGATTTTAGGGCCTTTTATGTGCATTGAGTTTTTGCATAGCGTGAGATGGACACGAGGATCAAAGAGTGATCTGTGCCTTGTGTTATGGTCATGTGTTCTGTTGAGGTTGGCAAGGAGATGTTTGAGGGGAGGGTTAATATCAGAGTTAAGTGTTCTATGTATGTAATAGGTGCAGTAATAAGTATGGATGTTTTGTATGGTGAGTAGGTTTAGTGTATTGAATATTGGTGGAGTGTGCTGCCTGTAGTGAGAATTTGTTATCATTCTAACTGCAGCCTTTTGTTGGGTAATTAGTGGTCTGAGATGGTTAATTGTTGTTGAGCCCCATGCACAAATTCCATAGGTGAGATAGGGGTAAATAAGTGAGTAATATAGGGCCAGGAGGGCTGACTGTGGAGCATAGTACCGTATCTTCGATAGTATGCCTACAGTCTTGGAAATTCTTTTAGAAATTTGTTGTATATGTGTATGAAATTTGAGTCTATTATCAAGGTGGATTCCTAAGAATTTTCCCTCTGTTAGCTTTGTGATAGGTGATCCGTTTATCATTATGTTAAGAGGGACATCTGTAGCTCTGTTACCAAACTGAATGAAGTAGATTTTGTCAATGTTTAGTGTAAGTTTGTTAGTCCTCATCCAGGTAGATATTTTCTGTAATTCGGTATTTACAGTATTGGCTAGCGTGACTGGGCTCGGGTGGGAGAAGACGTATGTAGTGTCATCTGCAAATAGTGTGGGTTTGAGTAATTGCGAAGCATTTGGTAGGTCATTTATGTATAGGAGAAAGAGAAGAGGGCCAAGGACACTTCCCTGTGGGACACCAACTGTAATTGGTTGTGCAGAAGAGTTTGCCCCATTTGCGTACACATATTGGCTTCTGTTGCTGAGGTATGACTTGAGGTAGTTGAGGGAGTGCCCTCTTATACCATAGTGTGACAATTTTACGTGGAGCAAGTCATGGTCAACTGTATCAAAAGCTTTACGTAAGTTAATGAAGATCCCCAGTGGGACTTCTTTTTTTTCTATTGCAGTGTATATATGTTCTAGCATGTGTATAATAGCATCATTAGTATTTTTATTAGGCCTGAATCCAAATTGGCAGGGGTTGAGTATGTTTTGGGAGATAAGGTAGTAGATTCGTTTATGAATTAATTTTTCTAAGATTTTTGAGAGAGGGTGTAAGTTGGATATTGGCCTATAGTTATTCAACTCTGTTTGGTCTCCTCCTTTATGGATCGGGGTGACCCTTGCTATTTTGAGTACTGTAGGGAAGGTGGAGGATTCAATGGATTTGTAAGTAAGTAAGTTTATTCAGGTATACACAAATACAGTTACATAGAATTATCATACATAGCAGCATATGTGTAGAGAACCTAGGATAACCCAAAAAAGTCAGACAGAGTGTAAGATAAGATAAGATTTCGTTAGGATTTTTAACCCCGGAAGGTTAGCCACCCAGGATAACCCAAGAAAGTCAGTGCGTCATCGAGGACTGTCTAACTTATTTCCATTGGGGTCCTTAATCTTGTCCCCCAGGATGCGACCCACACCAGTCGACTAACACCCAGGTACCTATTTGCTGCTAGGTGAACAGGACAACAGGTGTAAGGAAACGTGTCGAAATGTTTCAAC